TTTTTTAAACCAGCCTCTCTATCTATGTGAATGCTCTCTCACACACATTTTCAGTGACTCCAGAGGGTTTCAGTAATGCCTAAGGGTTGTCAGCACAAGACTCACCCAGAACTTGGTCACCACATGCAGGAAGGTATGGGCATCTTGCAAGATAAAGGGGCCAGAGGAGAAAAGATCTCTGCTTGCCAGTATAGCCACAGCCCTGTAGGGCATTTTGGCTTTTCATAGTGAACCCAATGAAAACACATTTGAAAATTCAACTGGACTTATAGAAGAGCAAGTACTTGCTGCTCTCCCTTCCTAATTTTATGTGAGTGTCATGGGCATTCTGAGAGGAATAGGTGATGCACGTGGCTGTAGTTCTTAGAGAGGCAGCACATTATGTTTGGGTGGTCCAAGCCAAGTTGAGACCCAGTTTACACAGAGGGCATGTACTAAAGTGTAATCCAGACCATCCTTGAAATTCCCTTGTGAAGATCTGAAGATAGTGTAGTTCTGCTCCCACAGTTCAAACTAGTTTTTCTTCTAGTGTTAAAAGACATTGCTTATTCTTCCCCGTGCACTGAAGCGATGGTTGGTTGGTGTTTTAAAAGGGCCATTTGTATCTAACAACAATATCTCTAAATACAAAATTCATACGTAGAAGGCTGAGGAGCTCGAGTGAGAGACAGATTGTACCCAGAGGCTGGACAGTAACAGAGGGAAGCACAGATCCAAGTTTTCAGTCCATTCTCACTCAGGGAGGCCTGCTCATTGAGGTAATGGCCTCACTGGCTCACATTTTTACCCATACCTCCCCCAACCCCTTCTCTCTGTCTCTTAAATGCTACGAGTGTTGTATTTGTGTTAAAGGTCATCAAGACCTTCTTGTTGGACAGCACTCACATTAGGTGGTAGATTGAAAGTCAGTAAGACAGAGAAGGGGCTAATTCCCCAGTACACATGCCACACACCTAAGGACATCTTCATGTTTGGCACACAGTAGTCCCCTGTCAATGAAAAGAGTAAAATCTTATAAAATATTTGAAGAAATTTATTCTCAGGCAAATATGAGTGACCAATGGCTGGTGACAGCCCTCAGGAGATCCTGAGAGCATGTGCCCAAGGAGTTTCGGCCACAACTTAGCTTTATACATTTTAAGGAGACAAGACATCAGTCAGTATATGTAAAATGTACATTGGTTCAGTCTGGAAAGGAGAGACAACTGGACGTGGGGGATTTCAGGTCACAGGGAGATTCAAAGATTTTATGACTGGCACTTTGTTGAAAGAGTTATTATCTGGAGACTTAGAATTCATAGAAAGGAATCAGTAGGCTAAGATCAGGAATTGTGGAGGCCAGGGTTTTATCATGCAGGCGAATTCTCCAGGTGACAGGCTTCAGAAAGAATAGACTGTAGATGTTTTTTTGTTTGTATGTTTGTTTGTTTTTTAAAGTCGGACTTAAAAGAGTCTGTTCTATCAGTAATTCCAAAAGGAAGGAGGTTATAACAAGGCATGTCTGACCCCATTGTCCCATCATGGCCTGAATTAGTTTTCCAGGTTAACTCTGGAGTGCCCTTTGCTGAGCCAATGATTCTATTCAGATGGTTGTGGGACTTAGAATTTTATTTTTGGTTTATGCATCCTATCTGTGATTTCTCTTTCCATGGTTTTAGCTACTTACAGTCAACTGTGGCCCCAAAATAGGTGAGGGCAGTACAATAAGATGTTTTGAGAGAGAAAGACCATATTTACATAACAGTTATTACCATATATTGTTTTAATTTTTCTATTTCATTATTATTCTTAATCTCTTACTTTGCCTAATTTATAAACTTTATTATGGGTGTGTCTGTATAGGAAAAAATATAGTGTAGATAGGGTTTAGTACTTCCCGAAGTTTCAGACATCCACTGGGGGTCTTGGAACACATCACCTAAGCATAAGTGAGGACTACTGTACCTGCAACCCCAGGCTCATCCAGATAGGCTGAAATCCTCTTACTGAAGCATTGGCTTTGACATTAGGGAGCCTGGTGCCAGCATTTTGGAGCATGAAGATTGTATTTACATCCCTGCCTCCTCTCACTTTTCCTACACTCCCACCCCACCCTTAAATTAGCGTCACCAATCTATATCATTTTGTCCTTAGGGTAAACTCTGTGTATGTGTGTATGTGGGTGTGTGTGTACACCACTCCTCTTGTCAATGGCTTCTAATCGCCCCTCATTCTTAGTATGATGTAATTAAACACCAGACTCACATCTTGTGATCCTTGTGGTAGGTTATGCAGAGGAAAGAATAGAAACTTAAAGTGAGACTGCTGGTTTCACTCTCTGCTTGGCCCAAACCTCAACTTGTGCCTAGAACTGGCAACCAGAGGAGAAAATGGCCAGCAGGAAGTCTACCCAAGGAGACTAAACTGAATTTCCAGGGAAATTTAGTGTTTCTTGTCCTTGAGTTGCTTGAGTTGTTTCTACAACTTTCCAATGTCTTTAAAAAATAAGTTTTTGAAAATTGTTTTTCTAATTTTCACAGTGGGAGGATTGACCTTCTCCAGGCTACTCCATCTTACCTGAAGGAATGGGAGGATTTTAAGCTAGTGAGTCTGTGTACTGTAGATACTAGGTATAAAATGAAGACAGAAATCAGTCCAGAGCAGAATCTCATTGTGAAAGGTGTCATTTGTGTACCCAGACTTAGTTGTGCTAATATAAGAACACTACTAAACTCTTCTTACCCTAGGATGAGGATGTAGCAGAATCTTTGAGAAATTCCTGTGGTTTATCAGTTTGCAAAAAGATCCTTGGAGGCTTATAGTATGGAATGAGTGTGAGACTCCACCCTCATCTTTCTGAGAATTGAATTAGAGAAATCTGTTTTTAAGACTGTGGCCCTAAAAAATATCTGCTGGCATGAAAGGACTTCAAGGTCCCCAAAGGGGAATTTATTATGAGAGAGTCTGCTCGTGATTCCTATTCAACATAAAAGCATGGAGGTTCTTTGGGAAGGAGAAGTCTTAGCAAAACATGTAAGTGAGGCTGAGGAAACCCTGGATCTACCCATCAAGACATATTGTCATTCTGAGAACAATGACTGAATGTGTGAGTGAAAAATAAAAGAGCTATACCCTTGGGACCCAAGTGTTAGCTTTGAGATATTCAGGGATCTGCACTGGCAAGAGTATACCTGATGTTTGAGCTAGAGCCCTTGCAACTCTGCAGGGCTGGTGTTCAATGATGGGATCCTATATAAGTGACAGAAGCAGTAATGCTGGTAGGCTGAAGGGACTTTCCATTAGACTGCTTGGGAATACTAACCCATTTAGATTCAATAAGCCCTGGGGATTCTTGGACAGTTCACAATGGGAGCCTCAAGAGAGAGATCTTGGATTTCTACTAATTATGATATGTGGATGTACAAGAAATAAATTGGAGGAAAATGTGTAAATCTGGTAAAGAGAGTTATGCCAGTTACACTAGCTTTTAAGTTCTAGCTAGTCATATGTAACGGGAGTAGGGACAGAGCATGGGGAAAGAAAATTCTAGTAATATGATAATATGTTTTAAGACAACCAGCTCTTAGGGATCATTAGGCTTTTGGGATCTTTAATAACCTACAGGAAATCAGAGTGTGAGTTTCTGATGCTTTCATGGACGGGTCTTTATATATACACCGAAGGACTTCATTAACGACACTTTCTGAGCCACATGATAAATAGCAGGCTATTGGTTACTACATAAAATCGGAGTTTTCTTGACTTTAACAAGTGTTTTGAAAGTAGTAAGCATAGTTAATGCTCTCCTATTCTTGTATTTTAATTGTTTCAGGTTATTTTTTTATTAGATTAACACTAAGAAGTCAATACTGTAATCTGTTCGTGGCTCTCAGAAAACCTACGATGATTTTCCAATTGTAACCAGTTTATAAAACAATCTTGGCAAGAGGTTGGTTTGCATACTTATGAGAGATTCAAAGCTGGGTACTACCTTTATGATATGAATTTATACCAGGCTTGATGAGAATTATTTTGAAAGTGTACATCAGAATTACTTGAAAAACAATTGAGTCTTTTGTTTATTAATCCATTTATTTTAAAAAGCATATAAATGTATTGAATACTTGCTGTATGCCTGGGTACGTTATCGTTGAATCCAAAGTGAGAAGTGAGAAGAGAAACTGGTGTAGGGAAAGGGAGGACGAGAGGGAGCCTGCCTGAAGGAAATATTCCTGATCATCCTTGGCTAATGTGTGTTACAGGAACTGTAGCTGTATGGATTAGATTAATTTGAGTGAAACATTGACATTTTATAATATTAGGTCTATTGTAGTCTTTCCATTCATTCAAAGCGTCTCATTTTCATTACTAGAGTTTTGTAGGTTTCTTTCTTAATAGTTCTGCACAGGGATTATTGTTTATTCCTAAGTGTTTTTGTTTGTCCTATGAGTTTCTCCTACCCTAACCAGTTTCCCCGCTTTCAGTAAGTTCTTCCTACATCCATACCTACAAATTCACTCTCCTTCTTTTAGGTTGAGTGAAGAGGTGTAAAAATTGTGTTCATCTTTCTATGAGATGAGACATTATTCATTTTTTGTTATACTGGTTATCTTTAATTTTTTTCATTTTTTGTTATACTGGTTATCTTTAATTTTTTTTTTTTTTTTTTGAGACGAAGTCTCACTCTGCTGCCTAGGCTGGAGTGCAGTGGCACAATCTTGGCTCACTGCAACCTCCACCTCCCAGGTTCAGGCAATTCTCCTGCCTCAGCTTCCCAAGTAGCTGGAATTACAGACTTGTGCCACTATACCCAGCTAATTTTTGTATTTTTAGTGGAGATGAGGTTTCACCATGTTGTTCAGGCTGATATCAAACTCCTGACCTCGTGATTCACCCTCCCTGCTCTCCCAAAGTGCTGGGATTACAGGCATGAGCCACCACGCCTGGCCATCTTTAAATTTTTAGCATGCTTATTTAACAATGTCTAAAGTTTATCAGTACTTCTACCCTTGTAAACAATTAAGTTAAACTGTTTAAAATTGATCACTCCCTTTCTGTCTTGATATTGTTGCCAATACTTTGTTTCACTTTGTTTTATTACCCAACATTAGTAACTACTCGTTATTTCTAAATATTCACTGTTGTCTACATTTAACTGCACAAATACACATTTCTTTGTTCATCATATCTTCTTGTATCTCAGTTCTTCCTTTTGGAATATATTTCCTTTTTCCCAAAATTCCTAGATAGAGTATGCTATTGGTAGACTTTTGTCTCAAAATATCTTTATTTTGTCCTTGCTCTTTAATGATAATTCAGCTGGATATAAAGCTACAGATTGACATTTATTTCTTTCAAGGTTTTGAAAATGATTCCATTGCCTTCTGCTTTTTATCAATGCTTTGAAAACGTCTGCTATTAGTCTGATTATTGTTCTTTTTTAGACAACTTTACTTTTCTCTCTAGTAACTTTTTGTATCTTCTCTTTTTCTTCTACTCTCTACAGTGTTTCAGCAATATGGTTTGTTATAGATTTATTTTGTTAATTCTACCTTGTAGTTATGCTTCTTGAAACAGGGTTTATATATTTCATACATTCTGGAAAACACTCATTTCCCCCTTTTTCTCTCTCCTTTCTTTCTGGAACTTCTAATATAAGTATATGAGGAGCCTGTTCATTCAATCTTCCATGTCTCTTAATCCCTTTTGTATTTTTTCTTGCTTTATATCTTCGATAACATCCTGGGTAATTTCTTTAGATCTATCTCCTACGTCATTAACTTTTTCTTTAGCTGAATCTATTTTTTTCTGCTCAGCAGAAAAAAATCTACTGAATTTTTTTAAAAAATACATATTTAATCAACATCAAGATCAGACTCTTACATTTAGCAATCAACATGTGTACAAAAAATAACTATATTATAAAACTTTTGTTGTAATGCCTCACACTTTCCACAGAACAAAAACTAAAATACCTGTTATAGAGTTAGTCACAAATACTATTCTTATGATTTTTTCCTCAGGGGAGTGTGCTCTAAAACATCTCTTCCTGTAGCATGTAGATCCTGCCACTGCAGCTGGCTGACTTCATAAACTTGTTGTAACTGATAGCTTTTCTGTTATTTCTTAGGCTTTCCTCTTTTGCTAAGCATTTTTTCTTGGCAGTAATTAAAATCTTCTGCCACTGCTATAGCTTCTGCTGATGCTAAAACAACCATAAACCTTGGTTTTGTGGTTTGGCAAAGTATTGGTTCTTCCAGTATAAGAACTAGAACTTCTGCTCCATAGTCTCCTTCCTTTTTTGTTCCAGAACTTGAAGATTATCGTAATTGCAATTGCCCACTGTAGCTTCTACCACCTCCAAAATTGCTTCCATCATTGCCAACGCCATGATAACTATTCCCACTGCCATCATATCTACCACCATCATGGCTGCCACCAAAGTTGTGACAACCATTGTAGTTTCCTCCATACTTAAAGTTGCCTTTCTCTCTAAATTAACCTCTACCACTACTGCCAAAGTTTTCAGAACAACTTTGACTTAGATAAGGCA